CGTTCACCACAAGTTGGCGAGGCAGATTGTTTACTTTCTCACTCTGTTCCACCTCTCCTGCTCCCATGCGCTATGTCGTTATTGGTGTTACGACCAGCCGCCCAAACGTACGTTAATCGAATTCTTCCCACGATCGGACAAACATCGTGTTACGGCCACCCGCCTAAATGATCGATATTCGAACAATTGAACTCCTCACGACCGGACACCTAAACATCATATTACGACCACCTACTTAAGGGCACAGACTCCTTCGAGGCCTCCTCCGAATCGATATAAGCGCCATTGGAAAGAATCGGCCAATCATGAAAACACTTAATTGAGAAATTTGACATTTGACGGTGTGACATCTAACATCATTATGCAGAATAAGAAACGAAAGTGAGGTGGCGTAGTTGTCGAATCACATCATTTGAGAGATCTGTCGCGGTGTTGCCACATCTGTGACAACCCTGACCATCTAGCAAAATGAATTCACTCGAGCCAAGCGAGATTTTAATTCCAGGCGGACATAGAAAAGGACAGCGCGATAGAAAGAGAAGGAGTATCATGAATGAAACAACGTAGTACCGATCGGCAGAATTACATATGTTCGAGTCACACGCGACGACAGATTCGATGAGACTCTGTAATACACATATCGTACGCGACTATAAAACTTATACGAATAAAAACTACATGGCATTAATAATTTGAGAAAAGGAATGGAAAATAAACAGATGTAAATTGATCTATATATACAATTTATTCATTTAAATATTATCAATATAGGTATATAAATAATAATTAGACGGCCGCCCGTCGCCTGCCGCCCACTGCTCGCTTCTGCCTCTTCTTTCTCCGCGACGTCTGCATCGTCGATTACCATGACAGCCATCCCAGTCATGGCTATGGTATCGAACTTTTTAATCTGAAATATAATAATGGCTACTGTTGTAGACATAATTTCCATTTCATGAAAAATCTAATTCTGCCACATTTCTTACATAGAAGAATCAACGCTTTTACTTACTTGCGACGTTGACGGCCTCGGATTCTCCTTTCTCTTCCCTTTTATCCGACTTCGTTCCTTAGACCTCTTTCTCCTGTTTCTTCTATCCTCTTTCTTTTCTTCTTCTTCTTCCTCGTCCATCTGTGAAGAAAGCAATTTATGTATAGATAACGTAATATTAATTATGTAAGATTATACTTGCCGATTATACGTGATCAAACAGCATATTCGCAGTCCATTTGTCCTGTTAGGTAATGCTTTCTTGAATATACCTATATATAATTTTTTAATTTATTTCGAGAAGAGGAAAATGCTGTTTTTAATTTCTCAACGACAAAAATGTTCATGCAAAGATGAATGAAGATGAATGAAGATAAATATTGAAAAAAGAAAAAGTTAATGGAAATAGATGATATAGGACATTAATAATTTCATGAAGGGAATAAGAAAAAAATTGTTTCAGCTGAAAAAATAAATTTTGAGTCCAACGCTCGCTTCGCTCCAAAAAACCTCTTCTCGGGAATCCTTTCTTCGAAAATCTGTAACAAATTAAGAAATATAGTATGGCATCGCGTAACTCACGAGATCGTATGATCCGCGAGTACAATTGCTATTTCATGCAATTGTGAACCACCAACAGAGTCAGTGTTACTACACTTTACAGTGCAGTGCGATGCCGGACAGTAACAGTATTTTTTATTACTGTCCGCATAAGACCTTTTTTGACTTTTCAAAGGTCACTATTTTAAAATGTGTATATCGGCGTCGAACAACTCGCGAGATCGTATGATCCGCGAGTACAATTGCTATTTCATGCAATTGTGAACCACCAACAGAGTCAGTGTTACTGCACTTTACAGTGCAGTGCGACGCCGGACAGTAGCAATATTCGTGCTACTTTCTGAGAGAGACCTTTTGCGCTTTTCCAAGCTTGCTCTCTCCTCTGTTATAAATTGAGGCTCCCGAATGGGCATTCCTCTATTGTACCGGCTATCTATTAATTCGGGTAACATGCACAATAAATAAAATTGAATTAATTTTGGCTCCATATTCTTTTGCCAAAAATTATCGTCTCTATCGACTCTAATGTACTTTAACCCTTTTCGGGTCCAAATATAAATTAAGCAATATTTTCTACCTGTGACATGTAATTGTCCTTGTACTTGGTAGTAATAGTAGTGGTTCCTGTTCAATTCATTTCCTTCTGCGTCTGCAAATATACGCCGAATAACTGCAACACTTTTGATTGCCTCCTCCGGCAATAAATTCTCCGCCGTTTTCGGACATTTGATTTCCACAATGCCCTCTTCGTCTATAAGTCCATCTGGCGAAGCTCCTAAGAACGGGATGGCACTATCAATAAATAATCCACATTCTTTAATTTCAACACCAATGCACACAATTAGTTGTTCACGTGCGAATTTTTCGCATTCCTGTCCATATTGTACTGCAGGTGCACTAATCAGTCGTGGATACACTAACGACTTCACTGAATTTCCACAGAGCGTGCCAATTCGACAACGGCATATTCGTCCGAAATTTGAGGCCGTCAATAATTTAGATTTGTAATTCAACCATCTAGGATTTTTCGCTTGACCGATGGTTTCTTCTTCAATGGTATCTCTTCTATTTTGCCAAATCTGTAACATATCCATATGTTTTTTTTGCTCTAATTCATAAATATTGTTAGCCATATCCGGCTTTTCAGCATTTAGTCCGTAATTGGAATCCTTTTCAGAACGGAATTGTTTCCGCACGTGCTTTGTAATTTTTTTTTCCTTTCTCTTTTCACTGTATTTCTCATTTTCTTTCTTCCTTCTATTTTCTATTTTGCGTAAAATAACGGGCGGTTCCTTGTTCATCGCCGTATTCAGACGCGACAACACTTGTTTTGTGTTATACTGTAGGACAGCAGCAGCACATCTTCCCGTGTAAGATCCCCTCTCGCCGAAATTCAATCTTTTTCCTCCTGTATATTTTGCGATGATTCCGTTGAAACTTTCTACGGCATTATTGTTGCTGTTATACAGCAAACTCTCAGCATGCGCCAACAGAGGTCGAAGTATATCTTTGATTTGTTCGTACACTCCCATCTTCATCAATTCGGGAACAATGTTCTTTTCATCTTTTTTACTCGTTCCATCGCAGAAGTATTGTAGTTTTGAACAATCTGCGTGTTCACCAAAAACATGGCTAGGAACATTGTGTATGTCGGCATACAAATTCTTAATTTTTTCAGCGGTTGTTACTTGCTGACTGTATCTGTACTCTGCGGCTTTTACTATGTCCGCACGCATTCGCCGAATGCTGCTTTCAACGATTCTTCTGAATGGACCAGGTGTTGTCATCTTTACAACTTCTTTCATTTTTCTGCAAAAGTTTCGCAATAAATGATTCGTGCATTCAATTTTTTTTACACGAATCTGTGCTTTATATGGATCTGCATCTATAATTTTTTTATAAACGCTGCTGTCCCCATCAGCAATCAGTGTTGAATAAATCAGCACACGTTTTTCTACGCTGGTCTTGAAGCCTTCGACTATAGCGTCACTTTCCATAGCCGTTGATGCTTGGCTTGCGCTCCAATTTTTAAAACAGGTGTGCTTTCGTGGCTCTTCTTTCTTTTTCGCAGCACATCGACAAATCCTGCACACCTTGTTTCTCACACCAATAAATAAAACTTTCTTCGTGTGATATCCAATTATAACGCCGACTCCAGACGCGGAATTGTACGTTCCAGTCCGGTATGATCGTTTCATCCAGCTTCCATCGGCCACAACGGGGATGTGAGGGATTCCACATCCGGAAACAATATCGCCTCTTTCAATGGCCAAGCGTTTTTCTTCCTCTGCCGCTGTTACCATTTCTTCTTCTGCAGCAACAATTAATGTTTTCACTATTTCATCGTGATGTTTTCTAAATTCTTTCTTCGACATGGAGGGTATGTTCATCGCTGCAAGGAACTCTTCCATTTGGGCATAACTGCCTCCATTCACAATTGTTCCAGCAACGGCACACTGGTTTGTTTCCATGTGATTGCTTTCGTCAGGTTCACTGTGGATTTCACCTGTATATTTGCACATATCGCATATTACACTGAGGGTGGTCCTCAGACCCGACCGTTTCATGCCGGTTATTTTCAGGTGTCTAATTCCACAGTCTTCCCTGTTTTTAGCATGGTCACCTATTTTTTGAAATTCGGCAAAGATGTGCTGCATGTCCACGATACTCAAGCCACTTGGTAGACAGAATTGTTCTTCAGGCTCGTTCGTTACAACTTTCTGTATCATCAATTCTTCATTTTCTGAATTTGTGCCTTCCATATTTATCCCATCTTCAGCATTGTTTGTTTCTTCAATTTCAAACAATTCATTCGTCGTTTCTTCAAAAATTTCTTTACAATTTGCCGTATTCTGAAGGGCTAACCGCCGCCTTCTTTCGCGGCATGCTCTTTTTTTCGAGTATCTTCTTGTATGAACTGTTAATTTTGGCCGCCGACTTGTATTTGCCATCACACATTGCTGTTCGCATTCATTTCTCCTATCTTCAATCACTTCAATCGTGAAAACATTTTCACTATCACTCATTGTCACTATCACACAACAATATTCACCTATCACTTTGATCACTACACACTTTCAAAGCTTTGAAATAAATTCAATGATGTTATCTATTTCTTGCTTCGAAAGCAACTGTCGCGAAAACGTAAAATGCACTACGGAGAAACATAGGGCACCGTGGTGGGGAGTGTTTATGAGGACTACGAAAAATAAACAACAACGACATCAATATTTATTTAAAAAAAAAGTTTTCAACTTGTATTCATTTATAATATTATGATTTTAAATTATTAAAAAAATATATAACATGAAAATAAAAATTCAATACGTAAAATTAGAAATTAGAAATTAGAAAAGGGTCTATTTTATAAAACAGTGAACACGGTCCTGATCCCCACCAACATTCGAGTAGTTTCAGCATCAACGACAAAAGACAATCAAAAGACAAGATGTCAGACCAGGAGGTGCGTATAATCGGCCAGTGAAATATTATATCATTAATATTACGTTATTTATATATAAATTACTTTCTTTATAGATGCAGATAGATGAAGAAAAAAAAGAGGAAAGAAAAGAAGAAAAGGAAAAAGAAGAACAAAAGGAAGCAAAACAAGAAGAAAAAAAGGAGAGCAAGAAGGAGAAGGCGTCGACGTCGCAAGTAAGTAAAAACGTTGATTTATCTATGTAATGAATGTGGCAGAATTAGATTTTCGTGAAACGGAAATCATTTCTACAATAGTAGCAAATGAATTTCCACGATTATTTTTGGTTTTTTAATAATGTCACAATCTTACATAATGGAATATATAGTCCGCTACAATTATATTAAAATTCATTATTATATTTCAGATCAAGAAGATGTTAAAAAAAATTTTATACAGCGGCGGCCGCGGCGGCCGCGGCGGCTATCGCGGTGGTCACGGCGGCTATCGCGGTGGCAGGCGCCGAGGGCGACGAGGAGGCCGTCGTGGAGGAGGAGGAGAATACGTTTTTAATTTTTATAAGTAAATAAAAAATTTCAAGAAATTACACATCTGTTTATTTTTTATTCCCTTCGTAGCGGATCTCCGGCGAATAATCGCGTCAGACTCGCGGGTGAGAATATTCGCGACGGGACAGACAAAACCGATGTCATTCTGTGCGACAAAACACAGTCCGTCTCGCCATCTTGCTTTCTCACTCGCACTCGCACTCGCACTCGCACGTATTACGCCGTCCGCGCGATCAGTTGTCACCGGCGAGCATCGGCCGCCGATTATTTGTTTTATATTTATAGGACGCGTTTAGAATTAATGTAAGAGTTACTCAATAATTGTTGCATTCTCACTACCTCCGCTTCACCTTCTTGAAATTAATAATGTCCTGTAGTTCTCATTCCTATAAGTTTTATGGTCGCGTACGTTATGTGTATTATTTTGTAAAATATTGCGAAATAAGCAAGTTTTATAATTCATTCTTCTGGCATATCTTTAATTGCATTGTTAAAAAAACATGATTATAAATATGAATTAAACAGTTTTATGGTTGCGCACATTAATATATGTATTGTTTCATTCTCGGACCTCTTTCTCGGCTCGAGCTGATGATTCGATTTGTAACAGATGTGAACAGTACGTTGCGGCAACTATGCCTTACTTGTGGCTATATTCGCGTAGCCGTTGGTGGTGTCAAATTAGAATTTACATTTATCGACTGATTTGTGTTTTTATCGACCCTGATGATAACGTGGTCAAATATACCATCAATGCCTCTGACGGAAAATCATTGAACTATTCTTATGTCTATTTTACGTCTGATGCGTGCAAATCGTAGAATCGATTTTACGTCTTCCAGAAGTGATAAATTGTGAAAAATCGAATTTCAGTGATATTGTGCTAGTTTAAGGAAAGTCGGTCTGGTGTGCTGTCGGTGAAAAAACCATTAAATCGTCCAATATTTGCTAAAATGCAGCCGAACGCAGCATTCGGCAGCCATGTTGTTTGCTTACAACAGCGTCTGTCTCAATCTTACAATTTCGAAAATACGGTTTTTCTCAACGAATGGTGTTTATTAGCGTTCAAGCGGACCAGACCGACCTGTACCGAAGTCTACCCGTGTGTGCTGTACTCGCGAAAATTTTATTTATGCAATTATCAAGACGAAAAATCGATTCTACGAAATTGAATGTCTCTCTCGCGCATGGCGTATACGTGCATGCTTTCCGTTGATTGTGTGAGTGCACGCATACAGGTCATGGCACAAGGAGTCTGTGCCCTTAAGTATTCGATAAGACGCGTTCTCACGGACATCCCACCTTGTCAATCATCGGCACCTTCTCCACCACCAACGACATTATAAAAGACCTTACCGGACATAAGCAGAGTCAGTCGGAATCATATTATAAAAATAAAGTGCTAAACCTTTAAAAGTGCTATTCATTTAAAAACCTGTGAACTTTCTACGTGACATTGGCTACGGCCAGTGTCAAAGGACGACGACGAGCATATCGGGACAAAGTGAAATAGAATGATTTGCCGAGTCCTAGCGGAAATAGATAGAAAGTAAGAAATTGTATCTTTTTATAGCTGACACTTTAATTGGGAGGTTATGCAAATGCTGTGAAATCATTCTATTTCACTCTGTCCCGATATGTTCGCCGTCAACCTTTGTCTCTGGCCTCAGCTAATAAGGAACATGCGTGTGGTAGCTAGAGAGGTGGAATAGAGTGAGAGCATAATAAGTTTTCAGTTATACCTGTATACTGAAAATACATAATAACAGTTCTAGCATGAAATGTATCTATAATGTTATTTAACTTTGTTCTTACAGGCAAACCTGACTGAACCGGGGGAATGGACAATAAGAGTGGCATCGTGGGACATGTGGAATACACAGCACTTCCTGGACCATCCAGAGGTTAGTCTGTAGTACCATAAACGAATATTACTTTTGGTTTTACTATCTTTCTTAGTTGTAGACTGGTATGTTTAACAAATATTCTTCGGTTGTTTGTAGAATACAGACCCCACTCTGACAGTAGAGAAAAAGCTCTACGCTGACTTGCTTAGGCAAAGATAGAGAGCAAGAGTAAGATAATCCTTATTTTTCAGTAGCGACGTACGAGACTCTTCAGATCTGTGGACACCCTACTCATGGTCCGCAACGTATTAATCAGGTGTTAGTATTGAGACCATATTCAAGTACAAAGAGCTAGCGAGGAGCGGAGCTCCCTGAAACGGCCTGTACTAACATTGCTCTGGCTAGACCAGAAACCGATTGCGACCTGTAGGCTAGAGTCCGCTCGTGTCTGAGGATACCGTACAAGTTACTGATGATAATTTCCAATACTTAGCGTGGTTGGCAATTATTCAGAGTGTTGGCTGTATCCATAGTCTGTCTAAGCCGCGTACTAATACATACTAATACTATATATTTCCTACTGTATTTTTCATCTAGGGCGTACTCATCGTAATTTCTTATTGTATTTCTTATCTAGCCCGTACACACTGTAATACTAGCATTATTATTTTCTTTTATTTTCTTGAGAAACCATATTTAGTTATCTAGCTAAGATCAATTTCTACTTACTTGAATAAACCAGTAGTTTAGCACATTAATGTTTGGATTTTACTGCTTAACCGCGTGCCACACGAACCTATAATCCCTATTACTGAATACGAGTCGCCTTCTGAGGGAACCGCTCTCCCTATACGTCGGTGTAGTGACGTACCTATTCTGGGATGTTACACAACGCAAGACCAATTCGCATAACAACCAACCACAGGAAAAAAAGAATAAAAAACATTAGCCTGACATCGTTTAAAATCTGAATAATTTTTCGCTAAAAAATTATATGAGAATCTTTGCTGAACCACAAAAGGATCATTGTGGCGAAATTGGTTAACGTGCGAGGTCCATTTGAACACTTGATAATTAAAACTTAATTCCGAGGTTTTCACGTTCGTAACCAATTCGACATCTTCTTTTGAAATATATTTTAACTAACTTCTTCTTGACCGACACGGTTGACAATCAATACACGTATCCGGAAACAATGCCACCAAATATTCACGCAAATTGTCAACATAAACACAATCATTAAATTCCAAAAATGCATGTAAATGAAAACTTACTCGAGTAGACGTCGTGCTCTTCTCAATACAAACACAGAACAACAAGTTGTCGAAACGAGAAGATGAGCCATTGCATAATGCAGGTATGAGTTTATATATTACTGGATATTAGTATTAAATATGCATGAGTCATTTAAAGAGAACTTTTTTTAAGTCTTTTGTACATTTACAGATTGTGCTGTCCCTGGAAGAGAGTATCAGTGATCACAAGCCCAGAAAGGTCAGAAAGGTACGACATAAGTATTCAAATATTAGATTAAGTAATCATAAGTGCAGGACAAGACTGCAAAGAATATTCAATAAATAAAAAAATGGTTGAAGCTATTAACTAAAACCGGTGCAATTTAGTTAATTCCATTAAACATTCCTTGTCGCATCCATATCATAAAACGAGAGAAAAGTATACAATTTTTTTTCTTACTGAAAGGAAATTGTTGATATTCAACTCTTTTTCTTTATCATTTGTACATGTTACTGGCCATGTATGAAAAGCAAACACTATACAGAATGCCTAGGCAATATCAATCGAAAGTTGATACAATATTAAAATAATTCGGATATTTTATACTTTGCTCAAAAACGTCAGGCATTCTATACACTGCTTGCTTGTCATACAATGCTGCTAACATACACAACTGAAATTTTTACTTTATGTATTTCTTAAGCCCTGTCCAGACTGGCAGACAATTGTCCAGAGACATGTGTCCGCATACAGTCTTCGAACACTGTCTGCGGACAATTCACGAATGTTAAAAGACAAATGCAATTTGTAAACAATCCGCGGACAGTCCATGGGTAAGTATTTTGTTTTCCGTTTCCAGAGAAAACAACAGACAATATCTGCAGACAAATAATAAATAAATTTGCAGAAACAGTTCATTCGTGTTCATTTCGTATTCAATTCAATTTGTGTTCAATATTTTTCAGTATTTCATATTATTTTTAATCTGTGTATATTATTTATTTTCTATTATTATTTAATACGTGGTCAAATGACAAAGTTTTATCATTTATTGAAGATATTCATTCAAATGAATGCTTATGGAATGTAACAAGTTGTGATTATCGCAATAGAAATAAACAAAAAGGTGTGATGCATTTATCCACAAAATACGACATTGGTCTTAATCATGTTGAAAATCAAATATCAAACCTGAAGTGCCAATTTCGAAGGGAACATAAGAAACTTTCAAATAATAGGAAAAGCGGTTCATCGCCGAAAAAACCTTCATGATTCGCTTATGAATCCCTATCATTTTTAATTAAACACAGCGAACCAAGAAATAGCAGATGTACCATCGATGATCCATCTGATGTGAATGATAACACTGAAGTAAGTATATAATTTTTAATAATTTAATTGTCTTGAATGTTTAGTTTAACAAAAAGGAAGAGAGTGACACAATTTAATATTTACACATAATCCTTTTACCATGGAACTGAACCTATTGGAGTCATGAAATATTGCATGAATTCTTTTGTAATTTCATGTGCTTGATTATGTGTCTTTTAGCAATATGTTGTAAGTCAATAAAATTATTACGATTTTCCATTTCTGCCCTCCAACTCCCTTCTAAAATAGTACCATTTTCTAAATTGTCTCTGTCAAATGTTCCCGGTGGTGACTAATAATTTCTTGCAATAGAGTTTCTACGCAAAAAATTATGTAAATAAATACATGTCAATGTAACAATTTCTCCTTTTTTGGGACTTAAGGGGGTAGACACGGGTAATGCAGCGAGGTGACATTACCGGCAAAAATGGGCATAAAAAGGGGTCTGGGATTTTTCGCTTTTCGTCCTTATATGAGAATATTTGAGGCTGGGTGAGGGCTCATTCGAAAGAGGAAGGTTCAATGCAGCGCGCTCTGGTCATGATTGAACGTGATTTTGTTAATATCTAATAATATGAGTGTCCAAAGTAGAGGAAAAATCGAGAAAATACATCCGCAGAATCCAAGGTATTTTTAGGTCACTAAAAGAGTTTTGTGACTCAAACGATGACCAGAGCGCGCTGCACTGAACCTTTCTATTTCGAATGAGCCCTCACCCAGCCTCAAATATTCTCATATAAGGACGAAAAGCGAAAAATCGCGATTGCATTCTCACAGACGAGTTCCCCCATTATCTGGATACTACAGAGCAAGTCACGTGGCAAATTTAGTTCAGCTAGTTGTTATAAGGTGGCGTCTAAGTAGAAAAGCTGTAGCGGCGCCACAGCACAGCCGACTCTAGTACAGTAATGCTTCGAAATAAGCAAGTGGTCTCTGCTTCGAAATAAGCAAGTCGCTATCCCCTCTTCTTTGTTTGAAGTCGCTCGCAAAGTGAGAGGTACGAGAAACGAGTGAGAGGTCCATGAAAACGCGAAGCCGATGTTTAGGGTAATAAATTTCACGCTCGACTGAGCAGTGACATCGGTTAGTAGAAGAAGGATGGAATATATATAATGCTTTCTCAGTCTGGTATATTTGTTTCGAAATAAAGCATAGTGCGAGAATGAGAGGCCATGCTATATTCTATCCTTGTTGAAAAAATAACATCCCTGCTTGGCCGATCACTTTATGATTTGCCGCTACCTCGGTTCTCTCACTCGCTTCTCGCGTTCTCTATCGTCCCGTTTCGAGAACAAAGTCAAGCCGAATAGCATACCTGCTTCGAAATAAGCAACTGTTCGGTCCCGAGCCACTTGCTTATTTCGAAGCATTACTGTACTAGCCATGCTGAACAACGTGGCAACACCGCTCACGTGACAATCGGGAGTCCTATTTTCAAAAACAGAGTCCTGTGCTCGGAATTGTAATTAACGTCCTTTTTAATTAAAAGCTGTAGTAATATACACTATTTTGTGTTAATTATGTATAAACAATATATAAACGTTGCAACTATGGCAAATAGAAGTGATGTGGTAGTATAAAATTGTTATAAATGTGATATATATTTTGTGTACTCTCACAGTAGTTTGGTGTTGTGAAGCATGATATTTGAAATATTTACAGTGGTTTCAAGAAAATTTAGGTATGAAGCAAAATGAAACCATCTTTGGATCAAATTGAAACATTTAAGAATTGATAAACGTGTATATAAGTTAATAAAAACCTTGAAACAAGCGAAATGATTGGATCGAAACCAAAGAGGTTATGTGAAGTCCAGAGAGTGTCGGGAGTCTGACGACGTTGATTGGCTGAGAGTCTGGGAGTCCGGGAGGCAGATAGAGTAGGGTAGGTGTTGATATATTCAGACCGGACTCTCGCGGTGTTGCCATTTTTACTTCAGCACGGCTAGTACTAGAGTCGGCTGTGGCCACAAAAAATTTTATTTTATAAAATGGGATGATATGGCTATTGGCGAACCACCCATTATAATAAAAAAGGGTAACGCGCCGAAGTAATACCCCTAGGGTGGTGAGGAAATTTACAATTTTAATACTGTCCTCTAAAACGGTTTTGTAATTAACTACGCAACTCTTCCCTTCAATAGCTAACTATACTAACCTCTTTTCCACATGTTCACATAACCTCTTTGGCTTCGTCCCGATAATTTCGCTTCTTTCAAGTTTTTATTAACTCATATACACATTTATCAATTCTTAAATGTTTCAATTCGATCCAAAGATGGTTTCATTTTGCTTCATACCTACATTTTCTTGAAACCACTGTAAATATTTCAAATATTATGTATCACAACACCGAACTACTTCGAGAGTACACAAAACATATATCACATTTATAACAAATTTATACTACCACATCACTTCTACTTACCATAGTTATAATATTTATACATTGCTTATACATAATCAATAAAGAATTGTATATTTTAACATTATTTTTTATGAAAAAAAGCGATAATTATAATCCGAAGTACAAGACTCCCATTATTGAAAATAGGACTCCCGATTGTCACGTGAGCGGTGTTGCCACGTTGTTCAGCACGGCTAGTACTAGAGTCGGCTGTGGCGGCGCCCTCCGTTAGTTACTAGATTCATGTTGTCTTCAGGTTGGCAGTACCATGTCTAGGGTAAGCTAGCGCATACGAATCTATGATATATATACCCATTGTATCAAAGGAAAAGAAGAAGCAAGAAAGTAAAAAAGTATTCTCGCAACACGTGCTAGTTATTTATCCTTCTTCCCGAATAATTCCGCTACAAGGCTGCCGATTTGGAATCGTAGTCAGAATCAAGCGTTAGCTTGATTACGTCACTCGAACTGTGCTGCGAAGGCAAGCGAAAACGGCAACATCGCCCAAACGCTGAGTGAGACGCACTACAGTCATGCTGTCCTTCTCTCATTCTGAATGTTGAGATTATCCCACAGCGCCCCATAACCTCGCCCCATTCAAACTATATCGTGCTTGGTATCATTTTAATCAGAAAAATTTCACCAATGCACTAGTAAAAGTTTCAGTAAAAAAAAGTCAAAAATAAAAAAGGTTTATAATTAAATTAGTATTAATCACACCGATACGTTTTGGCTCTTTCCTTTGATCATTAGACCTCTCTCTCTTTCCTCCACTGCCTGTCCCTTTCTACGTTCACGCTTGGCTGCTCGTCGCGTGTAACCCGAGATTAGACACTTCGACTGGATATATGCAACGTCTGGGTCCCAATGTTTGTTGCATATATCCAGCTTTTACTGTACTAGAATGAGAAATCATATTCCATCGTTCTTCTACTAATTGCCGTCACCCAACCAAAACATCGGCTTCTCGCTTTCACAGACCTCTCACTCATTTTTCGGACCACTTTTTTAAAGGAGAAGGATGGAGTGAGAGCCGGAGCAGCGTAAAATTGCCAATGTTTCAATGGATTAGGGCTGTACTGTTGAAATTTTTCACGTGACAATTCAGTCGAAACACGATATACGTCGGATTATTTATAACAGAGCTCGGTAGGATTTGCACTTTTCAGCTGATTTTCAGCTGGCTCCGAGTACCGCTATTCCCTTTGCCGCGACGTTCAGCACGCAACCTACGATCCGTTCGAGGTTCAGGAGCGTATCACTCATAAACGTACGCTGGCAATAGCTATCCACCTCATCCACGAGGTACTATTGTCGATGCGTTTTTTTTTTAAGTGGTTGCCAGCATACGTTTACGAGTGATACGCTCTTGAGCCTTGAATGGTTCGTACGCTGCGCGCTGAACGTCGCGGCAAGGGGAATAGCGGTTGGCGGAGCAAGCTGAAAATAGGCTAAAAAGTGGAAATCTTGCCCAGCTCTGATTTATAACAATCCGAGTTTGTAAGAAACGATAATTTATAACAGACATTGTAACCGTAACAATGATAAAAAAAACGTGGGCATCGCGGGACGGCCGATAAGAGCGAAGCTCAAGTCATATTGCGTAAATTTACAGTTTAGAATTGATTTAGTAATTTTATGGTATAATATTGAAAATGAAAATAAAATGGTCAATATTAGAGAAATGATATTTATTACTATAAATAAATACGGCGAGATCATCTTTTGTCGCGAACGTTCTCGTATACACGATCGACACGAAATTTCGCTGGATATCCGCTTTCAAAACATCCGAATGGGAGACAAATAGCGGAGAGGGGCCCGAGAATTGGAGTCGATGGTACGCGCCATCATGGTAGGCGCCAAACGCGCAAAGGAGTGCTCCAATATAAAGAATGAAAGAAGGGAGAGAATGAGAGAAGGGAATATGTAATATTGTATTACATATTATAAAATACCATGATATTACTGCATCGAAAACTAATGACTTCATGCAAATCTATAATATGAAACATAACTTACCTTTCTTGCCGTTTTTTATTTTTAGATACACGCTTTGCAAATATGGTATAACTCCGATTTTTCTTATTCCCTTTCAAATGCATTCTGCTTCTTGCATTTTCACTTTCTTCTTTTCGTTCCATATTCACACAATTATCACAATAATGTATAAAAATGAAATAGTTCAAAAGTTATAAATAATACACAACAAATGAAAACTCTATTGAAAACTCTATTGGTTTCTTGCGCGTGTTCACCGTTGTGCGGAAAAAAAAAGAAAATCAGAGAGAGCATCAGAAATCCAAGATGGTAAGTACCTTCAAGGCGCACATACATTCGTGTCTTCCTTATTTTATGAAATAAGAAGTTTTTATTATTTACTGAGTATATCTTTAGGACAAAATGGATTGTACCCCAGCAAACAGTGATATGACGGAAAATACAGAGCCGAATGTAAGTACCTTTACGCTCAATATCTCTATCACTTTTATTCTTCTATGTGTTGTGTGAACTGCGATTACTTATGTTCTCAGATGAAAAGTCGCGATTTTCGGAAATTTTAATTATTTATAACTTTTAAATGCGTTCACCGATATAGATGAAATTTTTAGCATACATATAACTTATCTGAATCTACGAAAGTCATTAAAAATTTTCATTATAGACTAACAGAAAAAAGTTGAAAAATTACCATTCTCTATTTTGTTTAATGATTTCAACAAATTGTAATTTTTTAAAACGATAAAAATACATATTTTAGTGAATTAATTTTCATGTTTACTTACAGATAAATCAGGGGAACACCAAGTCGGCCTTAGAAATAAATTCTGAAAAAGCTCAGGAGAGTAATAATGAATTTGAAAAAATACTATTAACATATAAGAAAGAAGTAAGTATATACATATAATTGCGATTTCTCAGCGTGGAATCAACACCCATATGATTACACTACAATAATTATGTTTATGTTAAATCTTACAGATCGCAGATCTCAAAAAACATATAAAGAAATCGAAATATAGTAGAGGGTCAAGAGGAGGAAGAGGCAAAGGAGAAGGTAGAGGAGGAAGAGGGGGAGGAGAAAGCAGAGGAGGAAGAGGCGGAGAAGGTAGAGGAAGAGGAAGAGGAAAATGGGGAGGATATGGAAAAAATAATACAACCATAATTTTTAAATAAAAAAAAAAAATACTAATTAAATAAAAAAATACTATGGTTTGTTTATTGTACATTCTACCCATACCCTAATTATAAGTAAATATAATATTATTAGTTGTAACGTGGTGACACCCGTGCCCCCCCGTTACAATCGCTGCGCTTTCCCCACTTTACACCTCCACCTCAAAACCACCCGTAACCCTTCCCTCACCTAACCCTTTCCCCCTGCTCACCGGTATCGGGCCGATGGCGGCGACGGAAGACCCACAAGGAATACCCGCGGAAGGAGCTACGAGGCCGGCGACAGACGAAGCTGCCCAGATAATGCAAAACGTCCACCCGGAGCCATCTGTCGCCGAGCCCGAAGACCTCAGCCCACCCGTCATCGCGGGATATCCGCCAGCCCCATCGACCCCGAGCACCGGTATATCGAAGATCGATAATCGATCTATCCCGTTGCCGGAAGAGGGCCCCTTCCTAGTCCCATCCCCCTCCCCAAACCATCCCGCGACGGTCGTCGTCGCAGCAGCGACGGCGAACCATCATTGAGCCCGAGGCTAAGCGATAGAGAACGTAGAGCGAATTTAGAGAGAGAATTGTGAGACAGGCGAGTTATAGAGAGCGACGAGTGCATGCGTGAGGAAATTTGGGTGAGTCCCTTGACGTATTAATATTGTAAAGCGCGAGATCGAGGCAACGGCCACCTTCGCCCGCGTACTTTCGCGTCCGCGTATCGTCGCGAGTTATACAGATTTCCGCGTCTTGCGAAACCCTTATCCACCCCCTACTATTCCCCTCTGTTGTGATCCTCCTACGCGTAACGTACGAACTTCCTGGGAACCCGTCCTAATCCTGAGATCTCCTCTCCTCCGATACTCCTCCCTGCGTATTCCCCCGCGAGGTATTGTAAGGGCGTAAGTGCCCCACGAGATGCCCCAAGTGAGACACCCACGATCACCCCCCCTTTTCCTTCCGATTTCGATTGCCACCGCGAGTGGCTGGCGCCCAACGATTATAACGATCCGGAAAGATTAAAAGTTGTATTGGAGAGTCGTATAGAGTGAACCCCCGACAAGGGGTCACATAGTACATAATTTTTTAATATATAGGTGTATTTAATAAAAAACATAAAGTAAAATAAGTAAAATAAGTAAAATAAATACATATTCCAAACAAATCTTTTTTTTAAATTGGCAAGAAGTATTATATCGCGTTTTTTACAGAAGAACAATATTTCTATTTAATTATATTTGTGCATATCTAAGTTTGTTCATCTATTTTCTATTGCCTTTTTACAAATTCACTGTAAAGATATTGTCTTTTGCCGGGTCCACACTGCTGTTCACGAACAGTTCGCGAACAGTTCGCGCGCCATGTTCGCCAGCAATGTGGACACTTTCGCGAAAAGCGAGCAGGTAGCAGCGAACTCGTCAGCGAACAGCGAACACTGTTCGCTAAGGAGGCGGTACATCAAAGAGTCTGTTTGCGAACTCGAAACATGTCTGGACGCGTTGTAACATATTTCTGTTGAATTTGACGACCGTTCGCAGTTCCGTCATCAGCCAGCGAACAATTGTGCAACCGTTTGCGTTCCGTTTGCGAGCTGTTCACGAACTATGTCTGAGCTTAGGTGTGAATTCTATTCTCGAACTGTTCGCAAACAGCTCGCAAACAGCTCGAGAACTGTTCGCGAACATTTCTATCCAGTGTAGATCCGGCATTATACGCCATCTTCTAACCACTAGCAGAACTAAATTTGTCACGTGACTTGCTCTGTATTATCCACAAAATGGCGGAACTGGTCTATGAGAATGTTTTTACGGGCATCCGTTATTCGTCCTTATTTCACAACAAATGAAGACAAAATAGATCTTGATTTACAGGTAAGGGTTGTGGCTAGACCGCTCAACTCATGATTTCAATCACAGCACTCTTTTAGTGGCCTAAAAATGCTTCGATTCCGCGAATGCATTTTGTCGATTTTTTACCTCTACTTTAGACGCTTATATTACTAAACATCAACATAATCCCACTGAGACATGAGTTGAGCGGTGTGCATTGGACCTTCCTGTTTCGAATAAGCCCTCACCCAGCCCTAAATGTTCTCATACAAGGACGAATAACGGAAGCGCGAAAACCCATGTTTATGCCCATTTTTGCCGGTAATGTCAACGCGCTACTATTACCCGTGTCTACCCCCTTAAAGAGTATTTTGTTTCTCCACAAGGTGAAGTAGAGGAGACCGGGGCTAGTTGAGACAAACGCAAATTGATATATTTTAATTTTTAATTTTTAATTTTAATTTTTAAAAATACCTCTTCTCGTATAAAATCAGAAATGCGTCAGCATATGTTGCATATGTCGCGTGCAACTTCACTTTAGAAATTTCTCATTAAATATTGTATTTTGGATGTGTTTCACGTTTAAAAATTTCCGCCAATGAAAGTAAGAAAAAGAGTTTGAGTTTGAGTGAACATATCTCGTATATCATTCGAGATAAGTAAATAATATATAGTTGAAGTCGGTAATGAAGAAACACGCCCTTTAAGAAGAAATTCTTTGAAGAAGAATAAATGATTAGATCATTTATTATTTTATATTAACAAATTCAAATAACTTTTCTGAATGTTCAATTTCAATAAATATTTATAATTTATACTTCAATCGTTTAATCTTTAATATGGATTAAGACCCCATATTCTTAATATATAACACTTTGTAGGCAGGTTCATTATTAATACGTTGTAATGGTCTTGTAGCAGAAAAGCAGCACTCTAAGAAACAAAAGTTTAAGGAATCACCGTTGGAGTGAAAAAATTTATTTACGGCATAGATCGGTTTTTGTTTCCACGAGCTCCGGCCTCGAGCCGGAAGAAAGATAGTTTTTATCAGGCCGCTGCCGAAACCGAATGTTTACATTCTCAAATCGTCAGCTGGGCCAGCGACCCGTTGATGTCTCGCCAGGTGATCGACAACTATGTAGTAACGACAATTTTCGAAAGAGTCGATTTTTGAGAAGCTTCAAGGAGGTCGCCTGGCGCGGTTAACCCTTTCGGTACGGGTGCCGGATATATCTGGCGTCCATCTGATGACCTGTGTGGACGAGCGCCGGATATATCCGGCATCCATCTGATGACCTGTGTGGGCGATATATTCGGCATCCACGTAGCAATCCGTGAGTGCAAACGACATCTGCAATTGGTCAAAGTATATTCTATTTTACCGACGTATTAGATGAAGATCATATAAGATGGGACGTATAAGATGGGACGTATAAGATGGGACGAATATGTGCTACCTGCGCAATTACTGTAAGTCCCAAAAGCAAAAAGAATTGGGTCCACGTAGGAACCCATCATTTCATTTTGAGAGACGAGGCACTCCAACAAACAACCTGCGTCAGGTGCGGGTTCCTGTTCGCACAATTACAACCAGCCCTAGCTTGTACAACTTGCTTACAAGCAATAAATAATATAGACCAGGAGACGTTAGAAGTATACAGAGAGGGATACCTGATACCTGCAGAGGACCAGGAGACATTCTATTTAAATACTTTAGCTAATTATCCTTAATTGTATTCATTCCTTTTTTTTTCCTGGTATTTTTTATGTTTTATATTTTCTTTTATCCACCATAATATTCCTTAATTTATTTTCTCTTTTTCATAAATAAATCCTTTTGTTAAACTTTATGAGCATATTTCATTCCACAATCCTAAACCATTCTTATTTCCTTCGATTTATTATTGCGCAGACTCGCAAATCCGCCATGTTAACATAAAAAAGATAGAAAGAGATAGAAACAAAGAGCGACAAAGAAAGCTATACAAAGCGACGCTCTACACGTAATGCTACATTCAATTTGTAAAAAAGCAATCATGGTACGACGCGCAGGAAGACGCGAACGATTGAAAAGATTAAGACGAGCTTTAAAACAATTCAGAGAGGTAGAATTATACTTTTAATAATTTATTTCATTCATTAATTATTTGTTTCGTGTAAAATTTTAAAGTTGGCAGTGCGGGAAGAAATAATAAAAGAAAAAGTAAAACCACCACCACCACCACCACAATGGAGGTTAGTCGAAATCGACATACCAGAATTCGACTGGCAAGCGTATAGACGCTTACAAAAAGGGGACCCCAGGAGGAAGCAAGGAAAAATTATTCGCTATTTTGGAGTCCTCTCAGCATCCCCGAAGAACAGCACAGAGAAGTGTCGCTGTGCCCTGTGCATCCTCATAAGACGTAACTACAGTCTCTTGAGGACAAGAGACAAACGCACGGGGGAAGCTGTAACGTCCCGCTAGCAACACCCAGCACCTTTTTTTTTATTATTATAATCAAATTTTAAGTTTAAGTTTTGTATAAAATGTATTTAGTTTAATTTGTAATATATATTTCTTGTAATAAATAATTTTCATTAATCGATAACATAGTCTAATGAATAAGTCGATAAGCGTATAGTCGGTAAGTCGGCCGATAAAATAGATTATCGATAAATTATCGACGTGCGACCACGTGTGCGCCAGCACAACTCCGATGATCTTGCGGTGGGGTGAGAATCTAGAGTAGGGAGATCCGCGTAGATTAGGGAGCAGGGGTGCTCGGCCGTCACGTGATGGGGAATTCCAGAGATCGAAAGGAATTCTATGTTAAAAAAAAACGCTAAGTCAGCAGAATCTGACTATAAATAGAGGCGCTCCACACGGTGTCAGATCAGATCTTCCCTGACTTCGGTCAGATGCAGACAACATTCTGGTAGTAGAGGAAAGCTCTGCGTTGAATTGCTTTGGCAACTACAGAGCGCGAGATTAGCTTTGTCTTTCTCTTTCAGTGGTGACGTACGAGACTTCGGATCTGTGGACACCCTACTCATGGTACGCAACGTGTTGAACACGTGCTAATACTGAGACACACGCTCAAGTGTAAAGAGCTAGCGAGGAGCGGAGCTCCTTGAGCAGGCCTGTATTAGCATAGCTCTGGCTAGACCAGAAACCGATTGCGACCTG